GGCTTGGACGCGAGCCGGCGGGCCGGCTCCGTGGCTTAGCTGGTTAAAGCGCCTGTCTAGTAAACAGGAGATCCTGGGTTCGAATCCCAGCGGGGCCTTTTTGTGTGTGGCTTTTTCCCTTTCAGCAATAGGGGATGGGTGATCACAGTGAAATCTTAAGGGTAAATTTTGCCAATGGGGCTGCACAGAAGTGTTTTACATGCGTCTGAGGATGGACTTTCTTGTTATTTACAAAAAATAAAAAATAAAAATAAGGAGATGAATTTGTTGTTCATTTGAAGAAAATTTCCATATTTTTGTTCCACGTGTTCTTTTTTCAGCCAGTACAGAAGGACCCAGGGACAGCCGAAGGCAATGTCACCAAATGTAAACTACAAGCTGCATGACCTCTGATCCTTCTGTCTTCTCTCCTGGGAAAACCCCAAAGGCGCGCCCTCTCCCAGTCTGCGGGGATGTTTAGAAAGGGATGCTTGACAGGTGTGTGCTGAGAAGGCTGCAGCAGCACCATTCGTAGCAGCACTGAAAGCCGACCTTATAGGTACCACGTGTAAGGGGCCGGGGAGTCTCCTGCTTGTTCTGAGTTTATCTAGCTGTACACTCAAGATTGGTGGACTTTTCTGAATGGATGTTATATGCAATAAATAGTTTTTAAAAGAAAAAGAAAAAAAAAAAGATGAGTAGCTTCTGCATCTACTAAAGCTGGCAAAGGGGGCAGGGGGTGCTTGATACCAGGCTTTCTCCACAGCAGCTTCTGCACACACACTGAGGGGTTTCTGAAATCATGGTATCACCGATTCAGCCTCAGGTGATAAAGACAGGCTTTGGCAAAGCATTTGGCAAGGTGACATTTCTTCTCTTTTAGAAGACTCAGAAATACCAGAATTTCCAATATAATTTCCCCCAGACACTGGCACCTGGTGCCAGCTGGAAAGGGCGCGTCCAGGTGCATCTGATAAGGTCTTCCTCAGGGTGCCTCATGCCCAGAGGCTAGAGCTGGGGAACGGAAGGACACAGATGTTTCCTAAGAATCTGTCACCTGCTCAGTACTGTGTGTGGTGACCGTTTCCCTTGAAGGGGAAAAGGGAAGGAGAGGGGAGTCGAGGAGCTGATTAAAATCTGTGACCGGTTTCCTTTCTGCTCTCAGGGAGGGGTTTCTGTGGGAGCCCCGTCTATTCTGGGTGAGGTTTCACACACACATTACAAATTAAACCAGAAAAGCAACTGCCCGAGGCTTCCAAGGGTTTTTTTGTGTTTTTTTTAAAGTTTGGACTCTGCTTTCCTTTGACTTTTGAAAATCACAATTTGAATACAAATGAATACTTTTAAAGCAGGGATAAATCAAGTTCTCCTCCCTGGGATATACAACGTGGGAGGGTGGCGGGCGGTGAACAGTGTGGGTGAGCAGTGCTTGGGGCGGAATGAGGAAAGGACACTGAGACTCACATCTCATCCCTTTGAGCAGCAGAGCTGTTTGAGTTGTGTTAGGTCAGAGCTTACGGGAAGGTGATTGTTCCTGGTCCTTCTCTGGGGCAACGTAGGGGAAAGCAGGCGACTGGCTGAACTATTAGGGCCTTCAACAGTGATTTCCAAAGACCACCCAAGTTTGTTTGTTTCCCAAATACAAGGCACTGCCATTAAAAATTTCCCAAACATTGCCTCCTCCTGGAAAAGTATTGTTAAAATTCCAGGATGTGGCTTCAGTCACCTGTACCAGGAATAACCCTTTAAGCAGTGAGAATGGAGTCACCACCCAAACAGGGGCTGAAGGTGGGCAGCCAGTGACACTGTGGCCTTTTGGTGAGTGTCTGGGCCCTCATGGGACAGCAGCCCCTGTGCAGCGTGCCCTGGTGAGCCCACTGCCCTCAGGTCTGGGATGAGTCTTTGGTAAATAGAACGCCATTGCTTGGTAAACAGCATTCCCATGGAGGCTTCTTTCCTCTGTTTTTGTTTTTTGTTCTACTTGTTGCAATAAAGAATGGAAGGTGCAGGTGCTGCTTTCAACAATCAGACAGACTTATTTATTAGGTTAAGACCATGGGCAACATCTATGCTGAACACTGGAAAAGTACAATCCAAGTGGGAGATATGAGCGTGGATAAATTTGCAGTCTGTTGGCCAGACAAGCTACAGGTATAAGGAAAATGCAGATACAGACAAGAGGAATCAGGCTAGCTGTGCTGAGCAGAGACACCGCATTCAGGGGACCGGAGGAGAAGAGCGTGGTAGGAAGGCCACATGGGGAGAGTGCACAGGGCATGGTGTAGAATCAGGTGGCAGCTGGTGCTAGTTGGAGGTGTGTTTGAGGGGTTAAACAGGACGTTGGGGTGAAGGCTGAGGGGGCAGGAAGCTGAGACAGTGGTTGATGAAGTGGTGATATCACTGAGGGGTGATTCCTGGAAATTCCTCTGAAATGGAGAGAGTCTAGATCATAAGGAGGAGAGAAGTGGAAACTATGGAGCCCACAAAGTGGGGGGGGGG